TCAGTAACAAATTTATCAGTTACTTTCATCATTACTTTTTATATTTTAACTTTATGACATAATTTCTATTCAATGTTTTCAATCAATATCTGTATATTCACAGTTTTCAATCGATATTCATAGGCCGGTAAGATCGTCTTAAGACATTTTAACCAATAATAGCTGTATGAGCTTATTTAAGACAATCTTAAATATAAGAACTGATTATGAATACCGGCCATAGTCTATTGTTAATTTAAAACTCGTCTTAAGAATAGTTTTAAGAATAATTTATCAGAAATCAATCACAAGAACAGACTTTATAAATACAACCTTTTAAAAATTTGTAAACAGAAAATTGAAGATAAAAAAATGTAAATTTGCTGTGTTTATGAATTTAATGAAAACTATATCTTTTATATTTACATTTTGAATATTTAAAAATTTAAAATTTTTTAGTTTTGCGAATTTAAGATAAAAAATTTTATTATTTTTACACTGATCATTTAACAAAAAAATGAGAAAATTTATTTTTTAATCTGATCTCGTTTTAGTATTAAAAAAGTAATTAACGTTATCGTTCCTGTTTAAGTTTAAGTAAAAGAATTACTTTTAAATAATAACTTTCCCAACTCTATACATAACCAAGTAGTAAAAGCATATGTTTGTATGTGTTAATGTTTCGAAAGAAAAATCAGAATTAATCATGTATAGTGAAATATAGTTAAGTCAAGAGATAAGTGTATATATACTCGAAAAATTTTCAAATTTGATTATCTCGAAAACGATGCATCATACGAAAAAAAATTGTGTTTTATATTTTCAATTCATTTTTGCTGAATAATCTGTCAGGTTATATCAACCATTCCTGATCCATCTTGTGCGGGTGAGCGCGCGTGTGCGTGTATGCTACGTCTACGTGTGTGTTTCTAAATTATATAGTACATGTATATTATATATATGTATAGGATTCTTTAAAAGTTTAAAAATGCTAAAATATTTTGAAAACGAAAAATAACTATAACGAAAAATATGTAAGAAGCAAAGTTGTAGAGCTGAAAAATGTGTCTAATGGTGATAAAAATTCAACTTTTATTTAAATGAATTAGAGATCATATGAAGATCAAGTTAAATTTTTTAAATGGAAGTTTTTATTTTTTATTGTATATTCTTTTGTAGCTTTTAGAATTTCAAGAATTTTTCAAAATTTTGTAATAAAATATTTTTTCGTTAAATACATTCGAATTATGAGATTTGTACCATTAGATTTTTAGGTCTACAACTTTGTCTCTTACATATTTTTCGCTATAATTGATTTAGTAGTTTTCGAGATATTTTAGCATTTCTATCCTGTATATAATTTGGAGATAGAACCGCGTAATAAATGTATACAGAAAGTAGTAGCTTTCAGGGTATGAACACTCATATAAAAAGTTAAGTCATATTTTTGCGCCATTTGAACGAATAGACAGATTTTTGCAACTAAAATTAAATAAATATAAAATAAATAATAAATAAATTATTAATAAATAAGAAAATAAATTATGATAAATTAATTATTTAATTCTAAAAATGTCTGTTCAGATGGCGCAGAAATACGGTTTGATTTTTTATATGAGAATGTTCATACCCTGACAGCCTTGCTTCTTCAAGCGAATGTCTTTGATTTTGCATTTGCAGGTATCATCGATTATCATATAGAAAATAGATATATTGATATGAACAGGATTACATCGTTATGCAGAGCCATCACCCGAAGATCGGTAAGTTGTCTTCATTCATGGTAGGCTCTAGTGCACAATCCTTAGATTATCATTATGTTTTATAAAAATCTTACATTTTCGTAAGATATTTTTTTTGAAAGTGCTACCATGGGGTTTTGAACAGTATATGTATCAAAAGTTCAGAGAAAATCTACCAGTGTATATTTTTTACAATTATAACAAAAAAGGTGTCATAAATTACAAGATCAATCAGTGTGGTAAAGATAGAAGAATCTATCGACTATTAGGAAGAATTAAGATCAAGAAGAAGAAAAGTCCAGCAATTACAAATCATCATTGAATGATTGTATTGGTTATCCTTTTTCGTAACTACGATATAAGTTACCCTATATTGATAAATCTTGTACCTCTCTGTATAATAAAGTTAATATTTTTCTGACATTGAAATGTAATTAATTATTCATCCTTATATACTAGCTTTTAATATATATATATATATATATATATATATATATATATTTTATATATATATATATATATATAAATTAATTTTTTTTATTATATTTATATTCTTATGAATAATTCATGATCATAATAATCATTTAATTTATGTCAAATATTACAAAACTTTTTAATTTTATAAGATTGATTTTAAAAGATTGATCCCCTCTTTTACATCTTTCTCTTTCTCTTCATTCACCATATTTGTTGCCAGGAAAAACGCCCTGAGTTTTATATTTATGCCAAGGTAATCTGCCTGTAAGTCTAAGTTCATCCCAATGTTTTATCCACATCTTTGGACATATGGACGTAAAAACATGTTTAAACCAAGTACATGCTTCGGAATCTTCACCTAAAATGTGCTGACAACGATAGAAATCTGTATACATCACGAAGCATCTCTGTGTCTGATTTTGCTGCTGAAATCTATAAAAAAATGAAAAAATCTGATAAAATCAATTATAAACTCCGATTATATATACCTTGGATCATTTCCAGAAAAATATTTAAGATCTTGCAACGTTTTCTCTTCTTCATGAATCTTGTCTTTTTTTTGTAACAAGGACATTCCTTTCCATCTGCAATGATTGTTATCTTCGAGTCTCGTTTTTCGTTCGTTTCATGCTTTTGTATTGAAATTGGATCTATTTTTTCTTCCATTTTCTTTACAATCAAATGTATTTTATGATATTAATTACTTGAGATTCTCAAATATGCTGTCACGTCACTTAAAAATTTTTTTTCGTTGCTTTTCAATTGTTCAAAGGTTCGTTGACAATGAATAAAATATACTATGATTGTAATTAAATTAGCGTTTTTATTGATGTGAGATTATATAAAGCAATACAAAAAGATTTCCTAAAAATAATATATTCAAAAATGTAAATCAAAGCTAAATCTAGGTAACACATGTTTTATACTCAAATAGCAGTAATATATTGTTGTTTGTTTATATTTACAAGAAAATTAGTAGTATAAGCCCAAGCATGAATTAAGCAATAATTATAGATTTAAGATTCCCGAACATTATGGTAAATAAATAAAATTTCTAATAAGATTTATTCTTCAATTATATGTATCGAGCAGTATATAAATATACGCATTTATGAACAATTTATATGTAAAAGTATTATTCACATATATTAGTTCTAATATTAAGAACACATGGTTTTATTTCTTATGTAAAAACGTTAGATATTTTCATTTAAGACTATATAAAATGTATACTTACACATTTTGTGTTCAGTCATAATAAATATTTTCGATAGAATCTATAAAAATCTAAAAATAATCTGCATATATACATATATAATAAAACTGTAAATATTCTTAATTCTTTCTTAATATCATCTAATAATATAATTGAGGAAAAAACTATATTTAACAATCAATATTAATAATCTATCAATTTAATGATATCTATAAAGAAACTTTAGTTTATATTATCTAAATAAAAAAAAATGCAGTCATATCAGAAGTCAATAGAGAATAATTTTGAATTAAGATATAATCCTAATATATAATATTTTATGATCTACTTGATATTTCCTTTAAAAAGGCACTATTCAGGTCCCAATATTAATCAGTTAATTGCCATTGGGATCAATTAATCAGAATATAATTTTCTTCATATTACAGAATTTATCTATATATGTGATACAGATAGCGAATTTGCTAAAATAAAAATATTCATATATTACAGTTTTATAGAAATTATGTTCAACAGAAAAATGAGCTTTGCAACTGTTATAAGATTCTTTAATATGATTTTATCCTTTGTTTCTCACTGGATCTAAATATATAGATTAATCACATTAAAGAATATCTTATAACAATTGCAAGTAGCTTTTTCTGGATCAAGTATATTAGGATTATTAGAAAGATTGATTCTCGAAGGAGAAACAGAAGATATTTAGATTACATTTTGACTATGTCATCTATATGTGCAATCAGTGAATTAATTGACTAAGAAGAAAAGAAACATTTATCAATAGGACCAGCCTATATGAAATATTTTGAATGATTCTATAGATAATTGTATGATAATGTGATAACTCTGTATTTGATCCTAACGTAAATAAATTTTACATTACACGCACGCACGCGCGCGCACATTATCTCAATGATGAGAGGTAAGGCTGACAAGTCATGCGCTGAACCGGTTGATACAGTCTTCTTTGTACTGGATTGGCGATAACATTACCGACACTGCCATTCTGTTCAAAATTAAAAGAATTGGAATCTCTGGATAAATCATTGATGTCTACTTCTACAGAACGATTATCTTGGAGCGAAGAATCTCTGTTTTCGAGCTGAGACTGCATGACGCTTTCATTTCTCTTGCGGAATTTCGTTGAGTATTTATAAAAGTCTGACATTTCAAAGGGCTTTGTTACTTCCCTATATGGCTGATACTTTCCTGGCTGCACAACTGTGCAATTTTGCGATGAGCCTAACGGCTGTATCGCGTTGTCACAAACATCTAGGGATGGCTTTGATTCGGCCGGTATTTCCAGCACTTTTGGTCTCATTGTAGACTGATCATATCGAAAATGAGATTGTTGTATCGCGTATTGCCGCTTCTCAGATTTGTCCCTTTTGTGACTGTTCATTGGATTCATTGGCATAGGCAATGACTCGCTAATTATTTGATTATCTCTTGCGTTTTTTGTAGTTTTGATACATGTTAGTGGAGGACTTGACTGATAATGTGCATTTTTTCGCGCGATAGCCAGATTATGATCTAAATCTGCATTCGTTTCCATATCTAAAGATGTTTCATACCACTCTTTTTGACGATTCTTACGATTGTTATTGGTAGTGTATTCCGGCACAGGCGCATCCTTACAATTATGTGAATCGTACGAATGACTTGATTGCCAAGTCTCTACACTTCCTAATGACTGTGTGCGCAACAGCATTTTACTATTGATCAATGGTATTTGCTCGGACAATGGTAACAGATGAATGGAATGATGTTGATTTGATAATGTAGTAACATTGCTGCTTGATGTACTTTTATTGTATGCAACGGTGACCATGCGATAACGTGATTGAGTGTCTAAATTTGCCTCACTGATTCTATCGTTGTGTTGAGCGTTTCGGCGTCTGCGATCCAAACTGCCAAATCTATCGGGTTCGTCCATGCTCACCCAATAAATATCATCATTGTGACGCGCCCAATAACCAGACGACAATTGTGCTTCAATTGATGTACTACCACCACTGTGTTGCGAGTTTTTGATGCAGAACGATAATGGTGAGTCGCGATCTCGCCTTTGTAAAAGCAGTTGGGATTGTGCACCATTCTTACAAGTCTGATAATCGGGCAAGCAATGAGATGCGCGAAAATCTCTGTCATAGATTGCTTGACAGCTTTTCCGTATATCCGTGTTATCTAAGCGTTTGTACTCGAAAGAACTTGTATACTGTAGTCTGTGATTCTGCTGTATCTGATCTTGCAATTGCTGTTGCTTTTGCAAATGTTGGAATTGACGATAACGTATTTGACGCTCGTCTTCGGTATAGGTATTCGGCACATAAGGATGATACGTCTTCTCGATATCTTGATAATGGCCGCGAGATTCACCACTTCCATGAGAATACGTGCGTACGCGGTACTGATCGGGTAAAATGTAAATATTATGATTATCATTGTGATCATGCTCCACAATCTTAACGCTCGATTGTTCAACAGGGTTTGCATTGAGATAAGTACTATTGTGATGATTGCAGACATTTGATACAACCAATTGCTTCTCATATTCTTGTCCGGTATAACTATTCAATTTATCTTCTGATCCCAAGGGACTTAAATTAACACCAGGTTCATGAAGTATACTCCTTCCAACAGATTTCGGAGTGATTATGTCATTTCCTATCATGCACACATATACACACAATTAAATTATATATTATAAATTAAAATTTTGTTTGTTTCAAAATTATTTAAAAATTTGTTACTGTAATTTGATTTCATATATAATACCTGTACTATCTAAAGGTGGCCGTGGCTTTTTTATTCTATGTTTTACATTAATATGTGAATGCGATTGCGTATTACAACTTCCTGACGATTGCAGTCGATGTACTTTACCACGAGTCTGTCTAATAAAATTTAGCTCCATCTCTAATTCTTGTAACCTTCGCTGGCTTTGTTGATAAGCAAGTCTATGTTTGCGTCGCGTGGCCTTACTTTCTGTAGGATCATTAATGATAATCAATGCGGTTTCTACAATTCCGAGCTGTACTTGCTTTTCTAACTCTAATTCTGACTCCTCCTAAACATTTAAATAGAATTTCAATAACATACTTATCAATTGCTGTACAATTATGTTACATCAGTTTAAAATAAATGTAAACATCTTACAACATCAGTTGTTTTCAGCTTGTTGATCAATTTTTGTGGATATATAAAGCAAGTGTCTACTTTTCTATGAAAAGATGGCGGACTTTCACCAGGTTCCAGAGGTATGTCCGGTGATAAAATACCTGTTATTTCTGCCTCCTCTATACATAGATTTTTTAATTCATTATTTTTTTGAGCAAGCTTTTCTTGCAAGGCTTCTCTGCGCTGACGTAACCATTGCAGTCTCACAGATAATGTGTCATCTGCCAAGGCTCCTGGCACATTTTCGTTTCCTGCCATCACTAAGCAATTATAAAATAATCTCAATATTATAATTAGTTAAAAGTAAAATTGCTAAAAAATACATCGTATATCAATTAATGATACTTACCCATATTATTAGACAAAATATAATAGAGTATAGGCTATAATGTCCTTTACATTTATTCTAATCTAGTGCACTTGGAAAGCATTCTAATAGGCATAATTATGATGCCATTTCACAATTATAATGAGAAGAAAATTTTTTCTTTCATATAAATCAATGTTTTTTCTTTACAAATAAATTTTGCAGAATTAGTAATAATTAAAAAAGAAAATTCCAGTGAAATTTTCCAATTCTCCAAAATTTTCTATAACAAAAAATGTATTGTTTAACATTAAAACCATTAAAGTAGACAATTTGGCTTCGACATTTAAAATTGATATAATTTCAACAAAGTTTTGTATTGCTTCAGAATTTTTCGAGACTTTTTATTATTTTAAAAGTTTGATTTACAGAAGAAATTTTAATCCATTTCATTCGTATTTATAGATTTTATTTTTATCTTAAACCACTAAAGCTGCCAATATGGCATTCTATGCATATTTTCAAATAATCGTGCAATGTTTCTCAAAGTCTCAATGTTAAAAGTTAAATATTAAATATTAAATTAAATGTTAAATATTATTCTATGGTTCTGATATATTTATTGCAATTATTTTCTCTCTGTATAGTAATGAATTTATTCATCATAACCATGAAGAATAATACATGCAAACGGCGAAACAATCAAATATATGATTATTGAATTGAGTGCAGGTAAACTTTATGTAATTGTGTAATTGATATGGCATTGCAAATTAGAAGAAATATTGAAAATCTTGGCTGACCAATCCAAAGATGTATCTTTCTATGAAAGTCATAAGTCTAGTAAAAAAGCGATAATGAAAGGAATATATGTTGCAATCAAATAATATTTCTGAAAAGATGAGAATGAATCAAGTTAAAGTTCTTCAAAAAGAAAGAAAATTCGAAAAAAGAGAAGAGAATAGAAAAAAAATTTGAATTCTATAATTCCACTAAATATGGAATTGATATGATAGATCAGTTGATAAAAAAGTATAGTGTGAAAGCATTTTCTCATCGTTGGCCCATTTCATATATTTTATAACATTTTAGATTTGGCAGCAATAAATGCCTGAATAATAAAATGTAGAAAGAAGTAACAGGGAACAAAATTTTTAGAAAAAAAATTATTTATCACAGTTATCCAAAGAACTTGCATGTTCATATATAGGAAAAAGACAAGTAACAAATGTAGCAATTGAACTCCAAGTGCAAAAAATGATGATGAAAAATGTCACATGTGTCAAGTAAAGTTACATTGTAAAGTTACAAAGAAAAATCATCAAAATTGGAATGTGCTCAATAACGTGCAATAAACATTTATGTGAAAAATGTAAGGCAAAAGTAAACTACATATACAATTACATGTAAACTGTGTAAATCTCTTAATTTTTTTTTATTATTGTGAAACACTTGAAAATATGTGAAAATTTTATTTTATATTTTATACTTTTACAAAAAAAATTATATTATTCTTTTTGTTTTGTAGACAGCTTATAAAAGTAGAAAGCTTATATTAAAAATGTAAGAAGTAAACTATGTGTACAAACTATATATTAAACGTTTTTATTTTTTATATAAAATTTAAATTTTTGTTGAACTGTTTGTAGCATATTATGTCTTTCTTTTTTATATGAATAATCAATGTACAACTTTTCATTGATTTTACTTATAATAATAAAACATTTCTTTTAAACAAAACTTTAAAGAATATTAAATAATTATAAAGTTTATATATTTCTCTGATTGTATTCATTTTTTTGTCTTTTTTATATTATATTATACAGTACAGAATATAAAAAATATATGAATATACAATCTTAAATAATGCAAAGTAATGTTTCACTAACTGAAAAAAAGATAGGAGCCAAATTGGCGGTTCTAGGAGAGTACTCAATCTCAGTAATTCTAGTATTAAAATATATAACAGTACAAATCATTTTCTACTTGTTTAAAATTTCTTAATATACGGATATAGGAATACATTCCTTATTATTATTATTTTTATGTGAATCTTCTAATTTTCTTAAAAAATATTTATATATTCCAAGTATCTCTAGTTCTAATTCACTTCAATCCTTTTCAAACAAAATCCACTAGCTCTCATCTTATTTATAACTTAGGTTAAATACTTAGGTTAAACATCGCAAAAAATATATTGATTACTTTATCAATTTTAAAACCAGCCATTTTTGATTGTTTATAAGATCAAACACATGTAAAACAGAGAATTTAGATTCTTATTCATTCTTAAATTCAAACAAAGTATTATAACCAACACTCAACAGTATTCAACGTGAACCGACGCCGAGATGACGAGAGTTCTACTCATTAGTTCCTTTCGAAATTTGAATTTTAGTTACTGAATAATAATGAACACATGACGCTTTCAATACCTAGTTTACACGAGTGACAACGTTCAATATAACGCAACAAAGAAAAACATAATTACAAAGGAATCCCGACATTTGACTCCGAAATTGAATCATACACATACTTTTGTCTCACCCAATATACATTATTCTTATCTCTTTTATTTCCTAAAGATGCATTTTCATGTTGATATTTGAAGCTAACCTATCCATAGTGTGATTTGTATATATGATCGGACAAAAGGTTCGATTGAATCATCAGTGGTCTAGTTTCCACCGTGTCTTAATTCGCTCCTCATACGACATAGAATCAGGGGGTAATCATGTAACTTTACGTGAAATTTTTCACTTTTTATTTTTCACTTTTTACTTTTCATTTTTCACACCTTGGGGTCAATCATGTAACTTTACGTGAAATTTTTCACTTTTCATTTTTCACTTTTTACTTTTCATTTTTCACACCTTGACATTTCACATGAAACTTTTCACGTACAGCGATTATGTATGTAACTTGGATGCGTGGAAAGTGAAATCATGAAACATAGTTTCATAGGTTTTATAGCTAATGAAAATTATTTTATTGGTACAATATTATATACACTTTTAATAACTAATTGTATATGTATTACGTACACTTAATCCTAACGCAGTCCTAATCTTCTCTAATTCCGAAGCATATTTATTAATTCCCTAGATTTGCGTCTTTCCGCCACCAAGGTACATGGCGAAAAAGTTCACGTGAAAAATTTCACATTTTCACGTTTGAGAGAATTACATGATCCCGCAAAATCGTACATGATCGTAACTTCATGTGAAACTTTTCACTTTTCACATTTCCGCTC